ATAGATCAACTTGCACCGCCAAATTGAGATTGCTCTGAAAACAGTACAAGGTACTACGCCCGCCGCTGAGTGAGGGACTAGCCGTAAACAATCGGGAGGGCCGCATTCATCCAGAGTGAATATTGCCATTGTTCAAAATGCCTGGATCCTCGAGTTGTTTATTAACTCTGTCCTTCCCCCCCCAACAAGAGGATAGCGGTATGAGTCAAAATAAAACCACCAGGGGACCGCATGTTTTTGTCTTTCGTTCCATTTACCAGGGTTCCATTTTGGGTACCTACTTTTGACCCACAGCCATATGAAATCCGAAGAACCAAGGCTCTAATTGGGAGCCGCCAATCTCGATAACAGCCCGTCGAGTCCTCGAGCCCATGGTTGAGCTCGTCATGAAGCTCCATGTACCCCGCCTTGCGCACGTTTTCAGCTGACGGAAGTTGGTGTGGACCGGTGGCAAAATCGGGATCTGGAAAACTTGTGATCGGTGCGACAGATGCAGGGAATGAGAAAGGGAATGACTCGATCCTATACACCATCCCGTGTGGCTTCCTTTAAGGGGACACCTGGGTTCATTCCCACATTCCCTGAGCACCAGCCAGAAAATCAAACAGCTAGTCTGATTGTGGTGTCCAGTAGGAGAGAATTAGAATAGGTCGGGTTATTGAGTATTGAGCACCCAGTAGAAACAGACGACCCGCAAATGAATGGTTTGCCGTTCTCAGCGATTGTAGGCAAATCGCTATCCTAGGTACTCAGTGAGGCTTTCCGCTGCTTCAATATAGGAATTAGCACTTACCCCAAATTGACATTCATTCACGGTTTGTGCGATTAGTCGGTCGGTGGGTAAGTGCTTCTTCCAATGTCATCCCTGATCTATTGGACTCCAAGGCACAGATTTTGAGAGTTGAGTGCGCCTTCGAAAAGCGAATTGGCAAAATGGAGGTGAAACAGGACCTTTCCTGTGGATTCCACTGATAAAGTTTCATATCTGTGCATTTCCTTGCAAACTTGTACCAGCCATCGGTATGGTCCTCTGACTTAGTCTTGTAAAAAGGGCGTCGCCTATATTACCCTAATGCAGATACAATTTGGTTTGGATTCGGAGTGACCTCACTTGCCTGAACCGACCTGGGTAACCACCCTGCTAAGACAATTGCCCAAGAAGAGCGGTGCAGGCTGGCTGTTTGAACAACGCAATCATCAAATACTTTGGACATCTTGCCTTCACAAAAAACCACTCTCCTGCAGATTAACACGGAACCCCGAAGAAACACACGTTCCTAGAGGGCAACTCTGTTTGGGGACCCTTTTTTGGGTCCCGCGTAAATTTGCGGGGGAGTAGATCTCGCAGTTCGAGCTCCTTTCTCGCCCTGCCTTGGAGTTGTTAGGGTGGTAGCCCACAGCAAGGAAGGTCCACATGACCGCCGCCTCAGAAAAGAGCCGGCTGTTGCCGCGGACGGTTGCCCGACTTACAGTTGAGAAGGAAAATACAAACGCGAAGACTTCTTACTGCCCCAGTGGCCCGGAGAATCCCGCCTAACCAACTTGAAACATGGGATATTGGTGATGGACATTCTCGTGGAGCTGAACCAAACTCCTGCAAGCAACGTGTTCAGATTGACTGCTCCCCGAGTGCCCTCGCTGCAACTTTGGAGCCATTCAAAAAGGGGGAAGGCAGAAGATATGTTACTTGGATATTTCTGAACCTCTTGGGGAGGTCGCCTTTCATATAGTTGGCAGGTTCAAACCAAAAGGAAGCCCCACTATGCTCACATTTCGAGAAACTAAGCTTGGCATGTTAGAATGTTAGAAAACAACGCGCTCCCTTTGCAGCCCAATCAAGGGCGATGTATGTCTTTCTGGCTGTTGGCAAGTTGCTTGGGGCTGAATTTGATGACTCTGAAGCCCTTGAGGGGCCCTAATGAGACCTTTGGTTTCCGTTTCAGTGTACACTTGCGGATGGTTTCGGCTATTGAGGTCGCGGTTTGTTTGCTATCTTATCACTCCGCCAGGAGTCGCCACATTGTCCCAGTGACTACCAACTACTTCAAGGGGCGATCGAGGTTCGTCAGGTAAGTGGTTAGAAAGCCCGGTTGTAACCCACTTCGGAGACTTACAACCATGGCTTTGGTGGGTTATAGTTATAACTAGCTAGAACCATGGTCATTATCATTACCCACTTACTACATGCAATGCCCCGTTATGTAGCTTGGTCGATTGTTTCACGACTTCTATTAGAGCAGGGATTCAGAAAGTAAAGGAGCTCATCGCACCCTGTGCTTTCAATCGGATGACTGGGATCCATTTGCAACCAGCTGTCTTCGTCTGAACACACACACCAATAGGGCAGCACCAGAATGTGAGAAGTTGCATTGGCACGCCCATCGAACCCTCCATGTCGCAGTCGCTTTGTTTGGGGTTCTTGAGCTACCGGTAGGAAGCGGCCTGAACAGAAATCAAACATGATTCATCCCTTTGATCTTCGCCATTGGCAGTGATCCTAACACAACTGCGTGGTGAGGAGTCTCCACTGGCATTGAGGAAGCGGCCCAGCGGCCCACCGCCCCCACGAATGCTTCGGCCCTGGCCAGCACCATCATCATGGCCGACTTGTTGATGCCCACGATGTCCTTCCCATGCAATTCGCCAGAACATGTTCTCTAGATAATTTCTCGGAGCAACAGATCAACAACACAGGCATGGTTCAACCCACAAGATCCCACAAGGATTCAAAAAAACGAAAAGCCGTGTCGGGCAATTGCATATTGCCCTGGCCGTATCACATAGAGTTGAATTCGGCCTGTGAAAGCGATGCACTTGTCCAAGTGTGTTCCTGGGCGTGTCCAAAGCTGGATCCTGTTTGCACCCCATTTTACGTCGCATGGCGGCAACTCTGATCACAGAGGCATTTGAGCCGCAGCGAGTTTTCCAAGAAGCCATGACACGGGAAAAGTGGGCATCCTCTGCAAACTCACAAACGTATTCCACGAATGTCAGTTGCTCGTTTTGCGCACAGCAGGATTGCTGACCAAGACCAAAGATTCAGCCACGCCGAATCACCTCACTTGACTCGACCAGCGCCTCCACAGCAACGATGAAGAGGCCAATGGCAAAGAGCATCGACATGACTTGGACCTGGATCGACCCAGAGTCTCGATCAAAATTCACAAACAGTGTTCAAGCCTGCCATATCAACTACAGCAGCGGTGGAACGGAGCATTGGGATACGCATTCACGTCCAGGAGGAACACTAATATTAAGTTCACGCCCATGATTGCAGTAAGCCCAGCAAAACAACAGAGCAAAAAGGATCTTGGATATTCCAAGCATGTTTTGATTGCCATTGCTTCCGCGTTTTGCTGTTCCCCTTCTTCCGGAGAGCAGCGGCAATGTCAGCTGCAGCGGAAGCTTGCCAACCTCTGCGATGACTCCCATTCAATTTCAGATCGAAGCATAAGGTTTTGGCAGCTCAAGTACTTGAAGTGGCCGTCAGCATCTACTCATTTCTATTCGAGTTTCCTCGCTGAATTCCCAATGGCGCCCAACTGCATGAGCTTTGCATGATATCTGGCCAATAAGTTGTAAGCAAGTAAGGCTGGCGATATTTGCTGTCTGTGTACACATGCCCGCCAAAACTCAGCTCAAGTTGGCCACACGCACACAACTGATGATTCACTTTTATTCAAATTCCGGCAGCAGAACAACTTGGAGCTTTGACTGGAAACCAACGTGTCGGAGTCGATGTGTGCTCCGCCTTGTTGGGTGCTCCCCGTTTCAGCCCTCAGTGGCTTATGGCCATATGGCCCGAGCCGAACGCTCGCTTCGAAGCACCGAGAAATTCGGCGAATTCTGCTATTCGGGTGAAATGTCTCTCAAAGCCGCAAAGCTAAAGCAGGTGACCCCACAAGTTGGTTGTACCGCGCCAAAACGGGTACTAAAAAAAACAACGACCCAAAGTGGGTTTGAAGGTAATGCAGCTCACCAACCGGCTCCGTGGGAAATGGCGGGCTGGCGGCTGGCAAGAAAGTTGCCATTAAGGCAAGCGGAGCCACCTAGCGAAACACACCCGCACAGACACACAAACACACAGACTCATAGACACACAGACACACAAACACACACAGACACAGACACAGACACAGACACAGGCACAAACACACACACACACACACCCACACACACACACACACAGAGTGTTGAACAGATTTTCTTCGTTGATGTAGCTTCGTTTGCCAAAGAGGAGGCTTGGACATGTCCCTTGTCCGAAGCTCAATTAACAGTTGGGTGTTTGTCAATATCAGGGACCTCTCCCTCACTTGCTGAGTGGATGGCCCAAAAAAAGTCCACACTTTATATGTACCACTAAAATGGTCCAAACCCAAAAAGCTTAAAGTTCATGAACTCAGGAAGTGAGCTCCAGGTTCATAGATCTCACGTCTCCTGACAAGTGAGGTGCTGTTTTTGAGGGCCGAGCCCTGGCATGATCGCTCTCGATGACCCAGGGAGGCCTGCGGAGAAAAAGCACATGGCGCTGGCCCTGAAACGCGTTTCCAGGCTTCTTGCCGACTTGTTCATGTTTTTTGGCTGTGGCTCACTCACACGTACCAAAATGGCATCTTGGTAAATGGAGCCAAAGACTCAATCCTGCGTAACCATGGCTCTTTCATTTTGAGCCATCCCCATTTGGTTGAACTAAAACCAGCCAAACACTACAGCTCAGCCGCTTTCCGCTGCATCACTGTCGCGCTCCCAAAAGTGCACTGGACTGAAAGCTCAGCCTCAGAGATTTTGGCCAACTGCCGCGTATCTACCAAGCCCTGACTTTTAATTCATATGAGAGACGGGTTCTTCATGCGCAGCCCAAAATGTGTGGCTGCGACCCGCATCTTATGAGAACTGCTTTGAGGCAAAGCCTAACAGCTGGCCAACATCTGGCTAATTGCAGCTACTTGTTCATTCAATGGGGGCATGATGTAAGCGTCACAAAGATATTTGCGCGCTGGTAGTCCTACTGCAGCCAGGGACGCTGGCCAAAGCATTTGGAGCGCCCCGTAGCACTAAGGCACCCTGGTCACAGAAGACTTTCGTTTGCATCTCAAGCCAAAGTCACTGGGGCCTTCCAAATGGCTATTGTTCAAAGGGGCCTCATGGGCTGAGACGCACCTTTTCATAAGCCACAGAAGACATGAAAAGGACACTGATACAGCCCTTCCAAATCACAAAGCCTTTCAAGTCGTTTGCGATGCATGGGTAAAACCAACGAGCTCTACCTTCAACCCTCAAAAGCAAATAGCTCTAGAGGTCAAGCACCTTGGAATAATTCATTCTGTCGCTGTCATCAAACAGCTTCTCAATACAGATCATGTAAGCACATCCTTCGAGATGCAGATCATGTAAGCACATCCTTCGAGAATGATGCGTTGCCCTTTGCCCTGCAAACACTGACAAGAAAACATCTGCTTCCAAACTACCAGCTGAAGACTTGGGTCGCGGGCCAATTCATGATGGCAATGACCAGCACAAAGATCTGCAAGGGTCCGGCAGTGCTCAGCTAAGGCCTACCCTTTGGGAGAATGGGCATCCGACAAAAGAAGCGGAACACGTCCAAGGATTCCATGTCAAAGGGAGGCTGGAGCGAGACGTGTTCATTTCAAAGACGAACGATATCCACTTGTCTCTCAAGCACGGCTTGAAGAATATGAACTGCTGACATGTTCAACATGTTTGAGGATATGATCTGAATCACATTCCATTCCACAGCCAGAGAACCAACTGAGAATAAAAGTTGGGGTGGGCATCCCCAAGCGTGCAGTGTTTGGCTCGAAGCACCAAATTGTGTGTAGCAGTGTGGTAGGAGACGCAACAGGTGGCCACAAAAATGATGTTGAGTGACCAGGCACAGAAGCTACCAGCTAGGTAGGTAATTAGGCAGTCCTGCATCCTGGAGTAAAGCCTGCGATTCAGCACCCGTACTTGGGAACCTGCGCATGGCAACCAAAGAAAATCTGATAATTAGCAGCTCCTAAGTATCCACGACATATCAAGCATGACACGCCATATGATCAAATCTCAAATTAAGCTTGAAGAACAACACAAGTATCATATGGCTCTTGGGCGAGAATCAAAGCGTGGCAGCAACGAGACTCAGACATGAAGCTGCCACTCCATGACGTGCACGATCCCCACTCTCCTCAACGATGAGTCTGGTCACTAAGACCTGGTAATGAGGCAAATGAGAACCATACTGAACCAGTTGCACCCGTTTTCCTCAACAAAAGTAACGGGTGCAAAGGACAGCTGTGGCTATTCCACGAAAGATCCCCCTCCCCTTCGCTCGCCATCATGCCGATGCCCAGCAAGCGCACCAGCCCCCGTGCCTCGACGGGGCTGAACACTTGGGGTCCCACTTTGGCTGAAGATCCTGTTAGATACGCAGGACTGCTTTTATATTGAAGACCCTCAGTCAACGTTGGCAACCGATGTGACGTGTATACGATCAACACAATCTCAAAGGGAAACATAGGGACCCAAGGCAAATGAGGTCGAGATTCTTAGGTGTCCGGATCTGCTGGAAAGTAGCCTGCAAACGCACGAACAAGCAAGTATCTGCCTTCTTGTGTGCATCGCCCTTGAATAGAAACAAATACTGCTATCAACCAGGGTGCCAAAATATAAGGGGTGAATCCACAGGCTCGACAAGCGCAATTGTCCCAGTACTCAAGCTGCTCCTTAACTGACCCCCCCTCCCCCGAATTGGCCCCCTCGAAAACAGGCTACACGAAAGGATCACATGGCATGCAGGGAATGAACTATGCAATCAACACAATGCCCACTTCGCAGAAGCGCCCGGGATTGCTCAGAGTTTTTTTGGTTTGCTGAGCCATTTCCCCATCAAGACAGCCAGACGGATTGATCCGAAGTGGCCATTGGTCTCGGAATCCAATTCAATGCGGCAAACATAAGACCAGGATCCTAAAATGGGCCTTCTACTTGTGCCAACGCCTCAAAACGTAGATATCGAACCACGCAGCCAGCATGTCGTCTGCAGCCCTCAGGCTTCGAGCTAGTTGATGTAGCTAAGCTGCTTCAATCCGCCTGGAGCTTTTGAATGCAGCATGGCCGTCAGGCTTTGCCAGTACCTGTCTAGGTCCTCCAGGTCCTCCAGTAGAGAGGATAGAATAAGGGTACCATATATTTTTTCTGTAGTCTATTTTAGTAGGGAACCCTCCCCCAAAAAAGGGTAAAAGACCTGTTGGCGCCCCTCACTCACTTGAATCATTGACCCATGGCAACAAGCCTTCTCTTGTCCATGGCACATGCCTGGCTGCGTAGAATCCGCTGTCATTCACTGCTTTGCCATTGTAGGACTTGAAAGTGCCGCGTGCTGAGCAACGCTCGCAGACGCTGCGTGTTGAGCAACTGGACATGTTTAACAATTTAGTTTCCGGGAAGGAAGCCTTACCTCCCAACGAATTTCAATGCGAGACGTCGAGGTGAAGTTTCCTATGGTCCAGTCCATTGGGGTTCATGGTGAGAAGCTCAATTCAAGAGCAATTTCTCACCATCTAACACAAGACAGCCATGCAACACGGCGGCCAATGCGGATGCTAGGGACTCCGAGGATCCTTCTTCGCGGATCTTTGCCCGCCTGGAGTTGAAGGTCCCTTGACGGGGCATGCTCATGAATTGAGGTTCCAAAAGCTTCTCACCATGAACATCAATGGACTGGACCATGCTGAGAAATTGCTCTCACGCCGTCTGTTCTAGATTACACCTGCTTCCATGATTAGACTTAGGCCCAGTTATAGATTATATACTCTGTTGTTTGCTTCCCTTTGAGTCACTGGTAAAATGTAAAATGTATCCTAAGTCTACCCCAGCTTCTGGACCCCCCTTTAGGGCCGCCCCTTCCCTTTCCTTTTTCCAGGCACCCCCGCTGTGTAGGCTGCGGTGTTCAGGATGCGCTCAGAGGGCCTCAGTCCGCCAATCCAGTCAGGGGCCACGGCTGTCTCTCATGGAAAACTACGGGGGCGCCGGACATGCTGAATTTAGGGGCGGCAAAGAGCAGGCACGCCTGGATTATCAAAGCCTTGGGATTCCTTCTAGGTTTCCTCTTGCTGGGCAGCTTAAATGGCCCAAATGGAATCCGCATGCAAACGACGTAACACTCTCACTTCCTTGCGGGCGTGTGCACGGCGAAACGCGGTGCAGCACGCAGGTCTGTCGAGGTCCGGCGACTACTCAAACCTAAAGGGGCGGGTCCAGTCATTTGTGACTCGGACCGGCCTGGAGGCAGTGAACGCACAGATGGCGCCTTCTGCCCTTTTGAGAGCATGAAAAGAGGCCCCCAAGGTTAAACCCGCTTGTGGGGGGCCAATCTTAAGCTTCGAGAGGTTCAAACCTCTAATTTCGCCAATGTCCAGTTGAAGCAAACCAGAGAGGGACCGAAAAAAGGACCGCAGCAGAGCTAAATCGGAAGACACAGTTGGTTGGGCAATGGCGTAGGAAGAATGTGTAACTACATCTTTCCAGGCCTCTCCTCGATTAGTTGCGACCCGAACCGGAAAAGCAATGCCATCACAACGAAGGGCCGCAACAAGTTCGATCCAGGAGAGATGGGCAACAATGTCCATGTGCTGATGCTGGTGAGTCAGCCACTGAATGACCTGGCTGGTGAAGGCCATCCCAAAACTTGCGGCCAGTTGTTGCCCAGAAGCTACATGCAAAAAGTCGGGGGGTATCCACTCAACCCAGGAGTTGGCCACATTGGGCCGGTCTAACAAAAGGCGGGCTCAAAAGTGGTCGGGTCATCCGGTTCGCCTTCTTCGGCAGCAAGTTCTGGAGGAAGTCGAAAACGTTCAGCTACTGCAAGGTGTAGCTTCGTGAGAAGGCGTAGGCGGGTAGCCATGTCATTCTCAGCTGCCTGGTACTGGTTCCAGAGGCCAGCGAAGGCGAAGTCGCGGGTCTGGTTCGTGAATTTGGCGAGCTCATCTGCTTGGCCATTCCAGTAGGCTGACCATGCGTCCACCGGATCGTCGCAGTCTTCGGGTTCGCGATGACTAGCGACGTGGTGAATGCGAAGTTGGCCGGGTTGGAGAAGATCACAGGCGTCCCGCAGGCACTGCCATAGATCGTGGTTGGTGCGAGGATAGTCCGAGGGGTCATCCAGGAGGCGCCAAGTGCCCCTTACCACATAGGACGAGTCCGACCAGACATGTCCTCGCAGTTTGCAGTGAAGTAGCCATTGTATCGAGGCAATGACCGCCTGCAGTTCTGCCCGGTTGTTGGATTGAGGAAGGCCACCAAGTGGAGCCGAAGCGATGGTCCTGCCATGCGTTGCTGATATAGAGGACCAGGCTGCCAGTGGGGTAACCGAAGAGGTAGGGCAGGTGCATGAGCCGTCAGTGAAAATATGCACTTCATCGGGACCCTCAGCGAGGAAGGCAAAATTCTCACAATGGCTGGGGATGTCGTAGAGCATTTTCTTGAGGTCCGCGTAAAATGGGTTCCGAGGTGGTAGAAGCCGTTCGCGTAGACACACTGGGGAATCGTGCCAAAGTTGAACGGCAGCCTGATGTTCGTGTCGTAATGTTTCCAGTGCGGGGCAGTGGAGGCATCTGTGAGTGATTGTGTCTTCAGCTCCACAGTGCCGGCAGGTACCTGCACAGAGGTTGTCGAATTTCTTGTGAGCACTCGCAGTGAAGAAGGCTCCTTCTCGCTGGGAGTTGACCGTGGCAACGTTCTGTGCGTTGAGCCCCTTGATGGAGGTCTGGCAAAGACCACCATTGACGCCAGTAAGGTCTGCATAGTCCTTGCGTTGGGCGAGACTCCTGGCAAGAAATTGATGCCATCCGTCTTCGAGTAGGCGGAAAAGGTGTTGGTGTGGTATGTGGAGAAGGTTGTGGGCAATGTCGTCGTGGTCAACGATGATGGGTGGGTCTGCAACTTTCCAATCAACCTGATGTAGTTGTCGAAGGATGGTCGAAAAAGGTCCTGCTCCCAGAGTGCCATCGTAGGCCGCCATGTACTGTTGCCAGTGCGTGAGCATAGAGGCGGTCTTGCTGAGGACTCGCTTGAAGTCTTGGAGGATGGTCCAGAGCTGATAGAAGCCAGGGTCGAGGAGTGTTCTGTGGGACAGTAGTCCAAGCCGGATGGCCGGTGCTGCACCCGCTCTCCCATGGCCCAATGCCCTGACGGCCTTGGTGCGGAGCTGCTTGATGTGCGCTGTACCCAGGTCGGAGATGGAGGCAGAGTGGAAAATCCGTGGCCAAAGGGCTTGGTAGATGACCAGTTGTTTGCATCTGGTTGGAGAGTTGGCCCTTTGTAGTTGGGACCAACAAGGTTGGACTCGTCGTAGGAGGTCATCATGACTGGCTGTTCTGCGTTGCCGACCATAGGTCATGAGACCACCAAGATCTTTGGCAGTGCCAACCACGTCCAGTCGTAGCTGTTGTAAAAACTGCCTGTCGCGAGCTTGGAGGGCCCAGGCATAGGTCTTGTTGTGGTCGGTGGCCAGCTGGAAGTGCAAACGACGTAACAAAAAACCTTCAGAGGTTGGCTTTCGTTGTTTGATTCATGTATTTGCGTTGACACAAACAGGATTAGTTCTCCTTCGGCCCCAAAGACAGCGAAGCGGGAAGGGTTGCCCGGCCCCAAGGCTTAAAGCTCTGACGAGACCTTCCAACCTCAAAGGTTGAAGCTATTCATCACAGTGGTGAGGCAAGCTTTGACTTCCACTCTTGCGCGCAAGCAATCTACGGTTTTTTGTACACCCTGGAATACACCCACTGGGTATTGACCCCAGTTGGGCACATTTCCGGATAAAACTGGGTCATTTCCCAAGGGTGTAATCCCAGGGTGTAATACACAAACCCTGAGAATCTGTATTTTGACAGGCAGCCCTAAAATCTCTAAATCAAAAGCTTAGCTGCCGAGTGCCATGGTGAAGGAACTTCGCTTTGTGCTGTCTTTCTGCTGGGTTCCACCAGGAGAACCCTGCAAAGCTATACATCTGCTTTCCTGGGCTCTAGAAGATGAAGGACAATATGCTACCACCCCATGTTTTTCTCTGGATGCTTGTTTAAATAACTACAGACCCCAAGTAGTAGTTCAGTGGCTTGTTGGCCCTGTATTTTGGTCCGTGAAAACCATCGCAAGGGGGACGGACAGCCCCTTCCTTCCATTTGTTTAAGCCCCCTGGAAAAAATACTCTAAACATGTCCAGTAGTGATAGATTCCCTTTAAAGCCAGCAAGGGAAACACATGTGCTTAAGCAAATGGATGCTTCCTAGCGCTTCTGACCGGACCGCCTGACTGCCTGGCGTGCATTGCTGCTGAGCTCACCACGTGCCGAGCTCCCGAACATCGTGGCCTGTGGCATCCGAGGGATGCTCTTCTCCACTGCTAGCTGGGACGAGTGTGATTCAAACCCCAGAAAACTATGGAGCGTCCACTGGTGGTAGGTGATTGCGATAAGAAGCTGCTCTTCTCCACTGCTGGTACGAGGTGATTCAAATGCTCCTTGTCATTTTCTTCTAGAAAGCAACCCCAGAAAGCTGCTATGGCGCGTCCACTTGCGGTTACTTGATCGACATACTCAAAAAAAGAACATGTCATCTGCACGTGACAAGTTGTTCAACTGGACCAACCATCTTCCAGCAAGCAAGAAGAGAAACTCAAAATGCAATCGCGTCCAATCCTAACATGTTTACAATTTGTTGTACTGAGGGAATGATGGATCACGACCGAGTTATACATTGGCAACACAGCACAGCACACACACACACAGAGAGGTGCAAACACAAGCACACAAGCATACAAGCATACATGCATACAAGCATACAAGGATACAAGCACACAAGCAAACGGAGCACAAGAGAGAGTACCGGCAAGCAATAAAGAGGTTCCTTCGGATTGTGGCCTTCTCCCGTGGCAGGGGTCCAGTCGATTCCGCATCCACTGAGTGCCTTGTCGGCTCAAAGGGCTGCTCTGTTGCCACAAATCCGCATCCATGTCCCTCCATGTGCGTGTTCGCCCCCTGGGAAAAACATAAAACATATATGTCCAATAGTGATAGATCTTTTTCAAACACCAACTGGGAGAAACAAAAAGAAAAAACAAAACCTATTCGTTTTAGCAAATGAAAGGCTTGGGGTGACCGCACACTCTTGTTGGTCTCTTCAAAATGGAAGCACATGGACGCGTCCCTGGTTTTTCCCTTCAGTTCACAGGGCAGAACGGGTTCGCGTCCGGTTTCCGGTTGCCCACCTTCTCCCACAGGCAGCCGAGGCAGCGATGTGTTGCGCACCTGGCGAAGTCGGCGTGAAGTGGGGTGACAGCATCGGCTTCTTCTTCTCTGATTGTCAGAGATAAACCGAAGGCGACAGCTTTCTCCCAGGTGGTAATTGTTCAAACAATCTGAAGGCGACAGCAACCTCTCCTCACTGGCTGAGTGGATGGCCCAAAAAAAGTCCAAACTTTATATTTCCACTAAAATGGTCCAAATCCAAAAAGTCTAAAGTTCATGAACTCAGGAAGTGAGCCTCTAAATCCAAGGCGCTCTCTTGAAATACACTCCTCTGAGTCCCTGAAGGGCGATGCCGATGCTTTAAAAGAAACAAACACGCGTGAAGTTCCAGTTTGAGGGTTTGATTCCGATCCGATTCTGTTTAACCATCGCTCTTTTCAAAAACCGGCCCCGTTTTCCCGGGGTTTATGGAGGTTTTTTGGCAAGAAGGATCCCTGGGTTGAAAATGGGGAAGGTAGCCCTAGAAAAATGCAGAGACTTGTGTCAGTTAGCCGCTCGCCCCCATCGAATCCTCCCGCTGTTCCCGGCCTCATGGCCGTTGGAGCTGCTACGCTGAGGCCTGAGTGAGGCTCAGCTCCGATGCGTCCCAAGCTGGAGGCCTACCCAAAAAATGCGGGAATAGCTTTACCATTAAGACCAAGACTATCCAAACCACAGAGTCCAGAAAATACTGTCAACACGTTGTTCGAAAATACTGGGTTGAGTGTCGTTTTCTCTTGTAGGGAGTCCGCGAGTCAATTCTGGCGCCACACGCCAAGCTGTTTACTGGCATACAGGAAGGTTTACTGTTTGAGCCCGCAGATGGAGGGATCCCCCTCAACGGCTCGACACTTTAAGGCGGTTGACAAGAGATGAAACCCTCTCAAAAGCGCGGCCCGTGGCGCAGCCATGTCCTTTGATCTCCCAGGATCAGGACTTGTTTTCTGACATCTCTTCAAAGAAAAACCCTCAAAGCCTCAACGGCAGAAGGAGGCACTTGTTTATTTTGCCTAGGTCAAAAGGCAAATGTCGTCAGCTTCGCAACGCATGAATGTCTGAGGAAAGCGTAGGAAACCCATGTCCGGGCGTGTGAAAGCACGCCAGAATACGGCAGACCTGTTCATATATGGCCTTTGTAACCGCAAAGCAGCAAAACAACTGAGCATGCCGAAAAGCAGGGGTGTACATTTTCTGACTTAACTGACCATGCCGGGTCGACAAGCCAAACCACAAGGCGAAGAGAAACAAACGTGTTATTTTCCAGCGATGTCAGCATCTAAAAGGAGGCGTGTTCTTCATAAAATGCATCTTGGCCTGCACAGTTCGCCTTGCTCACAATTCCTTGCGCAACCCCAAATTTTGCCTGGTGCGAAATGATGAGAAACAAATAACATTCCACAATATTGCCTCCTCTTGATTTGGGTGTGGCTCAAAATTAAAGAGCTAGGGCAAACCGCGGGTTTTAGTCTTTGGTTCCATTTCCGTTTGGTGCCGTTTTGGTGACCATTTATTTGAGCCACAGCCATTTGGGAACCCACGTCCTGCTCAAACCAACGATTTGGGATCAGCTCATCCCGGAGTCCGGCCTATCAAAGTCTGAGAGCTCGAGATCCAGAGAGGCGCCTATCGCCTCGGGGATTGGGGGATTGGTCGATTCCCATGGGAGGTGTCCCTTGGAAAATGGCCAGGCTCAGCCATGAGGATCCTTTTCTGTGGGGTTCCCTTGCTTCCTTGTTTCTAGCATGTTTCCTTATGTCCCTCTTTCTTTTGGATGGGCTCCCCTATTTCCCGTATTTCCCCGTATTGTCCGCTTGTTTTCCGGAATGGTAACTTGTCACGGCCCATCCTCAATAGAGAAACCGCCCTTGTCTCCTCTCTGAAGGCGGTTGAAGTTTCCGGCCCCATGGCTCGTTGAAGTTTCCGAGCCGGTGGCCGAAGCCCGTTTTCACAAGACTTGGGATAAATGAAACCATTCAAAGCCTACAAATTGTGCGATACACAGGGATCCGGATGCATTATACACCTGAACACTGCAACTTGTAAATGGTGGTTTCCCTGTATTTTGGTGGAAAAAGCCACGTTTCAAATGGTTGCAAAATGTATCTTGTAAGGAGCCCTGATACATTGCGTTAACAACTGGTGCGGATAGATGAAACTCGGACAAATATTCGGAGAAGGTACCTACTGCTGCGAAGTGGACTTTGTCCAGCAGAACTTTAGGGTCATCCCGCGAGAACCCGCGGCTGGGCTTTGCTCGGGATAAAAAGCGCGCCCCGTCGAGATCGCCCCAACCTCCTTTGCTTGAACGTGCCGAAGGCCAACGGAGCAAATGGAACTCGCGGCGAATTTCGGCTTGGATGTTCCTTGCCCGGTTCGTGCCTTTGAGGGAATGTGTCCAAAACGAGAATCTTCAAGGGATAAGCCTTTGTACATATACCTCAGGTGCAAACTACCCCCTAAAAGTCTAAAAGTAAGTGTTTTCCAGAGTTAGCACCTTGGGCCACACATCCAAGTACCTAGCACTCCCTGAGGTCAACAGTCTTGTACTTCCACTCATTCGAGCTATTTGCTTGCGCAGTGGAGAATCATCTGATGTTTATGTTGCTTGACCGCGCGCGGGATTCAGGCAAAACTTGCTGAAATGCAAGCAGCTTTAACACCGAACTTGGCTCTGCCCTGCGAGTTCTGAGTCATGAGGGTTTAGATAGGCCATCGCAAAAACCTAAGAAACACATCACCTTGGGCCGATGCTTGGAACTCCTGCCAGCCCGGGGACCGGGCTGTAGGTGACACTGCCTGGCTTGCGCAGGGCGACGGCCTTTGGGTTTGTGCGTACGGATCAGCCCCGATACTCATGGCCAAACAGAAACCCGTGGGGAATGCCCGGTGAAAGAGGTTTTGAACATCTGAAATCATCATCCAGTTTGACTTGTCAAAGAGCCTGACATTCTCTGGCAGCCGCGCCTTTGCGTCAGATTTGCCATTTACAGACCTGGGCTTGGGCTGACGACGTGCAAGTTCTTTCTAGATTGCACACCGGCGACGGATTGTCACTAGGTCTGCAGGATTAAATGTCAGATGCGTTGAACACAAATTGCAGCGACTGGGTGTCAGTGTCAGTGCTGTGCCATGCTGCATGCATGTATTCAATTTTCAGTCTAGGACTTACAAACGTGGCAAGTCGAAACAGGCTTGAAGCTACCAAACGGCCAGAGGACATGCAGAGCCTCTGGGCCTCGCGCATGGCTTATGGCCACCTAGCGGCAAGGCGAACCCACGAAAAGTGATTCACGCAAGGCGAATTGGGGGAATGACTGGTGGGTGTGTCCGTGTCTTTGAGGCTATCTGCTTGGAAAAAAAGGGCTGCACATCACTTGCAAGGAGCAGCGCGTTGCTTTCCAGAACCCCCTCTGCAAACGAATCCCAGCACAAGTTAATACGCTCGCAGCGGAAATCCGTGAGCTACACCGTTGTTTGTTGTTGGTCTTACATGCAAATGCGCACCACAGGGACATGATCGTGAGAGCTGCGTGGGCGTTGAATCTGCAATCCAGATAGTTTCGCTGACATTCACAAGCCATGCAAACTCCGTTCAACTTGAGGCTGCGCGTGCATATCTGGAATGCTTCCAAATTGAACAGGTTTGGCGCTTAATAGCACGTAAAGACCAAGTCCATCTTGGACCAAATTAATTTCAAGAGTAGAGTGTTTGCTAAGCAAACACTGGACGGTGACTCCCACTGCGAAGGAATGAGCTCAAGCATGAGGATGAGAGTCTACAAAACTTAGGCGTCGTGTGGCTTGGAGGACGCGCTCATGATCATGATCATGTTGATGTTGATGATGATGGTGCTGATGATGCTCGTGATCTTAGTTTCTGGTGCCTCTCTAGAACAGTTTTTGAACTGTCCTATCACCGAGGAATTTAGTTTCTTGGCCTGACATGCCCACAGGCCTAGACAGTAATGCCCCATTCTTACGAGCTAGGGTGAGAATCCTTTCAGCGTCCCTGGGGGGAGGGTGTTGATTTGGCTGTTTTGGTTGTTTGATCTTCTCCCCCCAAAAAAGGCTGTGTAAGTTGGGCCGGTTTGCCTTGCTAGGTTGTCCCACGCGATCTCCATTTTAGCTAATCTTTTTCCAGCCGCGGTTTCTCGCAAGGAGCTTGAACAGCACCTGACAAATGCCTGTGGTTCTCGCATTGTTCTTCTGGCCGTGCGCTTTTCTGGCAAATTATTCTGGCGATAGGGATTAAGTATGTCTCCTGAAGTTAGGGCTTCCGTCAATAGTCAGTAGTCCCAATCATCCCAAAGAAGGGTCCCAATCGAAAACAACTTGTACGTGCCCTTCAATCCATTTCGTTCAAAGGACCGGCCACTGCTCAATGCAAACCCTGCTCCAAAACTCTGGTTTGTTCGCATGTGAGTGTGTGTGTGTTTATTATTCATTGAACCCAGCACCGAAGAGGCCTATCCATCCGGGCCTCCCATGACAGGAAAAGCTGGCGCTACCGGACCAGACCCTTCATTGGAGCAGCTGCGTTCCTGTGGGTACTGTGAGAATGGGAATGCTCCACATGGATCAGGCTCGTTTTTGAAGTTCGCAAGAGGAATGAAGGATCCGAATTGAACAGCGAACACGATATGTAACCAACCATCAGGCATCCAAAGAAAAGTCTACAGGCAGCCTCTAGGTCCCTTGGGGCACAGGGATCCAGTCTTTCTCGTAGCAGGTTTCTGCGGTGCGTGAATTTGCCAGTTCCATGCCAGTAGGGCCGACGAAGCCGTTTGACAAGCGTTTCAAAAAATACCTTCTCTTTCTCTTTCTATCTCGCTTTATCTTTCTCTTCTCTCTCTTTCCTGTTTTCTTCCTCTTTCTCCTTCTCTCTTTCTACCTGTCCATTTATCCACCTACCTACCTATCTACCTATGAATCTTTCTACCTACCTAACTATCTACAGGTTGTACCCTATCTCGCTATCTCCCCCTCTGTGTTTATTTGTCTATCCATCTATCTATCTCTCTAACTCTCCATGTCTCTATCTCTCTATCCCTCGAGCCATGTGCGTATCTATCTCTCAAATTTCTCTAGATCTCACGATCTTTTTTTGTATGCGCCCCCCTCTCCGTCTCTCTATCTATCTACCTATCTGTCTATCCTCCCCCTCTATGTGGCTATCCTGGCTATCTAGCTAGCTAGCTAGCAAGTCTTTTTTTAAGTGATTATTTGTCTACTTGTCTATCCTCTCTATCTATCTGGCTAGCTAGCCAGCTACGTAGTCTTATGAATCTGTGCATCTATCTATTTATGCTTTCTATCCGTTCTAACCGATGTATCTGAAACCAATCGATCTATCTATCTTGCGCCACAGGCGCTGTACTTGACCTTGCGAAAGTGCTGCGCCGGCCACGAAATCAGTACTACCTTGCGAAAGTGCCGCGCCTGCTGTGAAATCTACCTGGCCTTGCGACAGTGCTACGCCTGCCAGGAAACAAGCACCTGACTTGCCAAATCTGCATGCGCCAGTTTGCACACCTGTGCCAATGGGCTTTGCGGCGCGTCCCTGCCAGCATTGCGACAATGCTCACCTGTCACGAAATCTGCGCCTGAGTCTGCGAAAGCACTGTGCCTGCCACACAATCTACGCCTCAGGCCGCCAAAGTGTGGCGCGTGCCACGCAACCTGATTACCAACCGAACAAAGTTCGGCGCAGGCCGCGCAAACTAACAAAGCAAGAAGCGCGCACGTGTGCCAATGGGCCCAAGTCCGAGCCTGTTCCGAAGCCGTTCCGAGACCGTCCGCGAAAAGGCGTCACGACCAAGGCAGCTTTCAGCCGCCCGCTGGAGAAACTTCGCAGAAGGTCGCTCCTTTTTGCAACTTCTATGCCTCCGCCACACGCCCACGCATGTTTCTCACGTGCATTCATTGCTTTCTTAATCTTATCTGTGCGCAGAACTACCTCTCAACTAGTTCGCACGGAAGTGTCTTCTAAACGTCCTTTGAATATATGGCCATGGGTCAAAATCCCGTACCCCCCCGTGAACATCCCAATTCCCACTAGAAAAGGCAAAAATGGGTGGTGCACCTACCCCAAAATGGTACCAAAATGGTACCATATTTTTGACCCATTCCCGCTGACAAGCTTCCAGCAAGCCCGCCACCCGGCCTGCACCGCTCATCGGTAGCCGCAGGGAACAGGCGCCGCTTGCTAATCAAGAGCGGTGATTTTCTGTCGCCTGTCCATTGCAACATGAAACGTCTCAAATACGTCTGACAAACAATGGGTTGAACTGTTTGTGCTCACTTGAGTCTAGTGTTTGCCTTAAGTAGGCATGGTTGGCTGGATGGCTTGTAGCTGGCATGCTGGTCGACAGCTTGGAATTTGTCTGCATAGACTAACTAGATCTAATTTATTCAGTTTAGTTCAACAGGTAAACCAACATTTCATGTATGGGCCAGTATTATCGAACCAAATGACCCCACATCATAAGTGTGTCGCGTCGCAAACAAACGACTCAGTACTCAAAAAAAATATGTTCCAAAAAAAAACCTCATGACACATGTTGATTCATGTCGGGGCGCCCCGTAGCTCTGGAAATGTATTGCGGGGAATTGGACTGCTTGACGCTGGCTTGTCCTGAGCCCAAGAAACTTCACGTGGCAAGGCGCGCATAATTTCATGGGTCTTCCAACGACTGCACCGCCAAAAGGGGTCCAACTTTTCAGGTTGAGGTACTACGTACAACATACATCAAGGGAGGACCCTTTCTTGAGGCTGTCAAAGGAGTAACTCGAGGCTTGACATGGCAGATCTGACACAGACACACACACACTACCAAACTCAGGATGATCCGAGCCGTCTTCGCTTTCAGTACATCTTTACTGACTGCTGCCTTACGGTCAAATTCCGGTAATAGTTGTAGTATATTCCCCGGTCCTGTAAGCCACTGGCCATAGTAATTGTTCAGGCCAAAGGACATGGGATATTTGGGCGGCCATGTTGGTTTCTACTGGGGAGTATTTGTCGTAACCTCCCTACTAGCAGACGACCAATCATTTTGCAGTTGCTCTCGTGCTCTCTTGACCTCAGCTGCACTGCTAAAAGTCTGTGTTTGCAAGCAGCGCTTCTCTCCAAATCAAGGCGCCGGAGTCAGCCCCGCGTTGGGTGCTGTACAGGGAAACGAATGGGAGCCAGGACATCGAGTCATGTGCACCGCAATATGCTGTCAGGCCGCACCTGGACTCCTGCGCTGAATCAGCTGGCTTCTGCGCTGTGTTCTTGGCCGGACCGGCACCCTCCGTCTTGCCAGCAGGCAGCCAGCAGTGGCTCGAGAGAGTGCGAAGATGCACGAAACAATGGGGCATCTGTAGTAGACAAGCCGTGTGTTACCACGCGAGTGCAGCGTCTCAATGCATTGCAGTGTGCAAGAGTTTGAGAGGGTGGCACACATGCAACCGAGCAGGCCTTACCTTCTACTTCATAGGCAACAGGCCGCGCACTCGGCCGTCTCGGATTCAGCTGCTTCACGCGAGAGGCACCCGACCACCCTTGATCCTCAACAAACAAGGGCTCTGTGTTGGATGCAGAGTCGGGCTTCAGGCTCCAGGCGCGGGGGCTAAGCCCAGCACCATGCAACTTAATATGTTCCCAGTACCACTCACCCCTGAAACCCATCAATTCTTCGAGATGAAAGCAAAGGAGGCCGCTGACCCAAAGGCCAGGAATCAAGAGTGCGCCAAACCTGCGGCTATGACTCCTACCCATCCAGAGTCAAGGAGAGAGCTTACGTCCTGATGACGCAACGTCGTATTACGCTATTGCGACCCAATCGGTTGGGGCAAAATCAGCTGAGCATGCCGAGCGCACACCCAAAGCTGCGTACAAGCCCTACGAAGCAACACAGAAGCTTGGCTTATGACTCCAGGAGCATGGCCAGTCCCTCAAAGGCTGTGGTGTGGCGGTGCAATAGCTCGACATGCGCGCGAGAAACAAAGGCAGGTCACGGCGATAAATTGTGCAAAGCCAGAGCCAAACCGGAAGGAAGCTGGCTCGGCATTCGACGCTTACGTGGTGGTCCGAAACGGTCAGTCGAATGGTTCTGCACAATCTGCACCCAAGCGCCTTCCATTTGTGCGAAACACAGCATAATTGGATCTTTGAGACATGTCAGTGGAGGGACCACTGGCAACGCAGAGCCAACTTCAGTGCACCAAAGCCTCCAAGGCTTGGCCGAGCTCAGCTATTGCTCAGCTTGCGGGACGTCAGCCCTGGGCTTGGCACACGGCGCCTGTCACGGGATGTTGCGAGGCTGATCAGCATTTGCCCCTCCGACATCCCAATCTGTTGCGTCACTTGTTTACGCTCTTATATGCCTTGCGAAAAAGAATCATGCCGCAAGCTAAACCAGGTTTCCCTCCCAGGTGAAACATGGGCAGGCACGTCTCTACCATGCGCTGCAAGATCCGCGCTTCGCCCCTTGGGCCACATGAGTCCACAGAAAAAGCTGTGGACCTGCCAAGGTGCTCTCCGCAAGCATTCAAAGATAGCAACTGGCGTTTGTACTGTGAAAAGGCGCTGACAAGGAGTAAGGAGTAAGGAGCGGGGGAGGGGTCCAGATAAGCAAACTTCGTTATTTGCTACGACATGGAGTTTTGAATGCAGAGATTCAAGAGGGAATCTAAACAAACGGTATTAACCTCTGATTCACTCCAAGTTCTAGAGGACCGGAGCTTTCCAACAGCTCTCACATTGTTGGAAGATTCCCGTCTGAATGAAGCTGATTTCACCATGACAAGCTCAAGTACCTGAGAGGCAATTGGATGGTGTCCGAGACATGTCACATTTGGCGCGTGCTTTGGAGGGACCACTGGCAGCAGGAGAGCCACCTGTATCTAAGTCCTTTCACGCCAGCAGCAACAGTTCCTGTGCCGATACAGCTTGTGCGATATCCTCATCGAGAGACTTCTGCTTGGGGCCACCTGTTAAACTGGTGATGTGCGGTACGGGGTCAAAGGCTGTCAAACCGAGTGGCGGCGAACTGCCAGATGTCACCTTCCAGCCTGGGTCAAAAGACCGTTGTGAATCCTTCAAAGACACGCGGTTATCAGGCGCTTCGTTTCTGCGAACGCCGACTCATATTGTGTTCTGCGTGTTGCCAGGCCACGAGTGAAGGCCCAGAAACGGGGACAGATGCCAAAGAGCACGAGACGTTGGCGGACCCGGATATTGGGCACTCCATTGCCGCACGTGAAACATCCGCTTCAGCTTCAGCGGGGACCGCTTGCTTTGCTTCGGTAGGAGTCAAGCACGAAAACGCCGGCCTTTCTTGGCTCCCTGAAAATCAAATACGTTGGGTTGTGCTGGGTTTTGGTGCGTCCGGATGGGTTGCTGTTGGGCCGATTGAAACCCCGAGCCGGCCCGAGTTGTCGCAAGCAAGCTTGAGAGGCGTCTCAATTGCAGCTTCAACAGAGCTCGCCGCGCGCGGGGCTGGGGGGGTTGCTGCTGGGAATGAATGCGCCAGGCTCTGGCACGCCTTTCTGCTGCCGTATTCACACGACACAGCAACTCTTGCAGCAATGCGACAACATTGGAGTTGGGTCTAGCCGTTCTGGCCTTGCGTCAGAGAGCATCGGCTGGCACGGAATCGCCAGCGTGTCAATGGAAGGCTCAATGGAACAAGGATCAATGAAATGCTTTAAGAAAGCGCAGTGTGCAGCCGAAATCTCAGCCGACAGAATCAAACTGGCATGTGGCATTATATCTCTGAGTGTCGAGTGTCAAGTCTTCCCGTCCGCTGCCGCGACTCCGAGACATCGCTTCCACGCCAGCGAAATGGTCACCAGGAAGCTGAGCCAAAGCAAGGCCGAACGAGGCTCAGGGTCCACATGAGTCCGCCTGTGTCTTTCTTTTGGGGGATTCCCACCCGTGCCGGGGGGCCTTGACAACCAGATGAGATTCTGCACCAATCCAAAAGAGCTGGAGCAAAGGCAGAACAAGCTGGATCATACAGCGCTACTAAGATTCCAAAAAATCTGCAAATTTTGGCCACCAATCATTCGGGTTTAGCTCCTTGCCCTCCAAGCCTTGCCACCGGTCCTTGACACTAGCGCAACCTCAGGCTGCACGGGTGCAAAAAGGGCGCGTAGTCATTGGTTTGCCGCGCCTTAAAATCCATCGAGGTCCATTGAGGCTTTCTGCTCCGGTGTCCCTAGGGTGGGCGCCTTGAAGCCTAGAGTGTTTGAAAAAAAAAAAAACAGTTCCTGGCCATGAAGCACAACCCCTCCGAACTCAAGCTCTGTGTCCGTTATAGAATATATATGTCATTGTTTGCTTCACTTTGAGTCACTGGTAAAATGTAAAATGTATCCTAAGTCCACCCCAGTTTGTAGTTCGGAGCCTGAGGAATAGTGGAGCCAGTCCTCTCGTCTCCAAGGCTGCCCTTTTCTGGCGCCCGTCACGGCCGGAGCTGGCCGTCGCAGGATTTGGTCGATGAGCAAATCAGCCTGCGTGGAAATCGCCGATCGCCAGCCATCCAGCTATGACAGGGATCCGGATGCATTATACACCTGAACATTGCAACTTGTAAGTGGTGGCGTCCCAATTTATTTTGGTGTTGAAAAAGCAACATGTTTCAAATGGTTGCAAAATGTATCTTTTAAGGAGCCCTGAATGATCAGGTCGAATACAACTTATGCCTGTGTCTCCAGTCTGGTGTGCATGACCTGTGCTGATTTTCACCTTGGGAAAGCACATGTTTTGCCGGTTTGCTCAATCTGACGCGCATGACCTGTTGCCGCAACCCATTCACGTGGGTAACATTGCGTACTGGTCGAGCATCATCTGTTGCCGCCTTAACTATTTGCCTCTGATTGTCACATGCACGACGTCTATGCCTCATCGGGGGATGTGCTACTCATGAAGACAGCGCCCTGATGTTAAGTCATGCGATGCCAATACTGCCCGCGCCGCTCAAGTCATCCCAGGTAGAAAATCAAACCAGCAGAAGGGAAGTGGGGAGAAAAGCCACCCGCTACCCCCACATCCCTGCTGCTTGATTCCCTGCTGCTTGAGTCTTCTGCAGAAGGGCACCCAACCCTTCAGAAAAGGTTAAGCAATCAGGGGAATTCTGAAGTGTACCGGCAAGAGTCCTGGCTGGTTACCACAGCAACTTGCCCAGAATTACCGGGGCAACTACCCCATGCAACCCTGTCAAACTTGGCTGCTTGCCATAACGGGAATCACCGTCGCTCCAAAGACCCTGTCGGGTAGGACAATACCAATTTTCACCTTGCCCATGGTGGTGTTGACCTTGGGACACCTTGGGGGTATCTTCCCTTGGCGTCGAAAGGAGCTGGGGTTCAAACCCCACCAAACCACCAATCAAACCCCACCAATCCAAACCACCAATTGAGGGGTACCTCACATTGCGCGGTTTTCTCTGGTACTATGCGACTCGCGACTCGCGAGCCTCCTGTGCCCGCTGCTTTCCGCGCGGCCACCGCGAAGAGTTGCAGACCCTGCAGGCCTTGGATGGCGAAGGGGTAGAGGTCCGGACGCAGGCAGGGATTCCCGTCAGTGGCTAGAGTCACCGCAACCATAGCAAAGGGGAATCAAGAATCTTGGTAGAAAAGTTGAACACACCCCAAGGACACGAAAACTGGGAACCAAAGGCAACAAACACTCAGATCTGAATAGAGATGACTGTTTATGTTGGACGTAGCAGTCCGCTAATGCCTGCGGTCTCATGCCAGTCCCTTCATGTTCAACCAAGACGGGTTCAAAAAGCAAGTCAAGCGACTGTGCTGTTTTGTTGCTTCGTTCAGTTTCGACACTTCAGGTTTGTAACCACTGTCTAGCAGTAGAGAGTAGATTGTTGAGTGCACCTCTCGTCGTCTCCCCTGCAAATGTAACAACTTGACCCTGCCCCACCAAAAGGCTCCAAACACTTGGGCTCTCTTGTTGAATAGCTTGCGTAAGCTAATTCAATAAGAGGCCCATTTGATTGATGAGGGATGCGAACTCTTGGCATGTCGGCGCTTAGGAACTCATCAATGGGAAGCCACGTGTTGCTGTTTCAGGGTGTGCCTTCGCACTGCCCGGCAATCACTACAAGGTTCAGGGCGAATTGCGTTGTTGAGTGGACTGCCCACACGCGAAGCAAAAGACGGATCGGCACGCAATCGTGCCGTTGAAAGCACAAAGACCTTGTCATCAGCAAACCACTGTTCATGCAATCTGCATGAGTTTTGCGCAAACAGCACAGATCGTGCCCAGGCAACGCAAGCCTTTTAGCAATGGTAAAGATGGCAGGATCTACGCACATTCCACACGCCTCAGGCATGCGGAAACGCAGAGATCAGCCGGCTCTGGAAAAATCAGCCTCGCGCGAGATGTGCTGCGGAGCCTCATTGATGGAAAATCGTGACTTCATGTTTTAACACGGGCCTATTTTCCCAGAGCGTCGAAACACTGCCTGCGGGGCTCCAACATCGTGCTGGCCTTTCCAAACGTCCGGCGCGGCACCGAGCCCCGTAAAAAAAATGGACCCTGGACCCCAGGGAGACTTGCGTCTGCCTAAGGCGCAAGTCTAAAGAGTTTACCCCTTGCAGGATAAAACAACACAAACAGCTCGAAGCTTGTCAGAGGTAAGCTTCATAGCTTCTGGTGGACATGGGGTCCAAGCAGGCAAGTGTCTGCAAGTGGTACGCAACTGATGCGTCGCCGGCCTTTTCGTCGACTGGCCATGGGGCAACGGATACTTTTGTTTGGTAAGTCATGTTTGGGATGGAGCCAAGGTTCAGAAGTGGCAACAATCCGGGCTGCCTATCACTTTGAATACAACTATAGCTGGTGTTCCCTCTCTGTCAACATATCTGAGGGCGTGCGCTTCTGACTCTACCTTTAAGCATGGCATGTCAGCATTGTAGTCGAGGCTTTGCCGGTTCGAAGGGCGCGAACAAGAAAAACATCTGGCCTGGCAAACTAATGCAAGTCTTTGAACCACTCGCGTTTGGAAGCCTGTGGATGCACATTCAAAAATATATATATATATATATATGTATGTATGTATGTATGTATGTATGTATGTATGTATGTATGTATGTATGTATGTATGTATGTATGTGTGTCTGTACATATATTCCATTACACATACATCACACGTGTAAATGGCACAGGGGTCCGGATACGTGCTTTCAAGGTTATTGACAACACTCAAGCCAGGAATAAGGCCGGACTAGGCAGGCAGCTGCTTGCACGAGGTGCATAGCCAGCACTGCGGTGAAGATGTGAGCCAGCAAAGCGTTTCCAGCTTCCAGGTAAACGAGCAATTGGAATGCAACCAACTGAAGCAGCCAAACCGCGGCAGCCAACTAACAGCCATTACTTAGCACAGGAGTTCCTCCTAGCAGCCGTTCAAAACAAACATCCATCACACTTGAGTAAACATCTAAGACCTGGATGGAGGTAATACCCAACGTGGAGATAGTCACAGGTGACCTCATCATATAGTGAGCTTGCTATTTATCAGGCCAAATCTGTACTTAAAGGGTCTTTGTACGTCAAGTAAGTGGGTAATACCCATGATTGTTTCAACCCACGTACCTTGGTTATAAGTCTCCTAAGTGGGTTGCAACCAGGCTCACTAACCACTTACTATCTACCCCTCAGTACTGATTCATTTTATCTTGTGAAACAATCCTCATCAAGTCTAGGCAGCTACAAAACAAAGTCATGGGATGGCCAGCAATGTTCTTTCATGACTGCACAAAGGCTTAGAAACTACTTGAAATCAGTAGTTCAAGAATCAACACACATCTTAAGCAAATGGAAGCAGCTGGAAGCAACTGGGCGGCGGCTCGCGGCCCGCGGCCCGCGGCTCGCGGAGTCACACCGTGTCTCTTTGATCCAGCGACGTGGGCTCCTGAAGCTTGCCATCTGAATCTCCTGGCGCGAAACGCCGCTGATCAGGGCTGTGGGAAATGGAATCCACTGTGATACAACAATAAGGGCGTCCCAAAGACTAACCCACCACACAGCGGGGGAGATTCCCTTGTATCACAGAAGTGGGGCAAAGCCCCGTGATCCCACAACCCTGCCGCCGATCAACTCAGGCTTTCTGCTTGAAAGGCCTGTTGTTGTCACTAACCTGGTCAGAATAGGGCCAGCCCACCAACACACCAACACAGCAACAGAAACCTGCCCAGTCGCCAGTCAGCGAGCCAGCCGGCTAGCCAACAAAGCAACCAAGCAACCAAGCAAGCAAGCAAGCAAGCAAGCAAGCAAGCAAGCAAGCAAATAACTCAACAACGTTCCACCGTCACGTGGCATTGCGCCAACAAGACAACGCAGCCTGGCATGATTATGATCGCATACGCAGGCCATGCGAAATGCAGCTTGTGTTCGGGCCGCAAGTTGATTCAGCTGACCGCTTTTGACCAACACAATGGCGCGTTTGCCCTGGTGCCTAGGCTTCCTTTAGCAATCGTCGCTGTCGATACAAGCAGGTTAAGCCGAAATACTGCTATTGAAGATTTTGTGGGTCATGTAATTTCAAAAAGAGGCCTAGCTCTGGTAGGCATGTGTGTGTACTTCTATAGGTTCTCCTCAGGTCTTCTTCGAACACTTCAAATTCTTTGGGTATATTGTAAAGCGGGTGCACATAAGGGCGTGCTTACCATTTCGCGGGCAGGTGTGCAGTGCTAAGCGAGCGAGCGTGAGCTTGTGTGCGCCGAGAAGGCGCATGTGAGCGGTGAGCGCCCCCCCCTCGTGCCCACCCCGCCCAGAGACATATGATGCGAAATATGATACAAAATTAACGCGTGCGGGGTGAAATGGGTCCGAAAGACCGCACAGGCCACACGAAACGCAGTTGGCGAACACTCCTGAAATGCGCGGTTCAGTCCTGGTGGAGGAAACAAACAAGGCAAGGAAGCCAACAAGCCAAGCAAGGCAAGAAAGCAAGCAAGCAAAGCAGGCAAACAACGCAAGAAGCGAACAAAAACAAGCAAGCAGGCAGGCAGGCAGGCAAGCAAGCAAGCAAGCGAGGCAAGCGAGGCAAGGCAAGGGAAGGCACTTGCAGGACAAGCAAAGCAAGCAGAGCAAGCAGAGCAAGCAAAGAAAGCAGAGCAAAGCGAAGCAGGGCGGAGCAAGCAACTACTGAGACACCAACCAACTTGACAGACCCAACATGGTGCCTGATACTGGGACACATCGATGACTCCTCGCTTGCAAATTCCAAAAAACCTTTGACAGGGCAACTCTTGGGCAGCGGGGTTCCGTTATTGACTACCCCAAGATGGACACAGCGCTTTTGTTCTGGGCAGCAGGGTGACCAGTTGACCACTCAGGTGGTTGATTTCTTTGAAAAGAGAAACCGCTGCGAGCCCCATTGTCCCGGTTGGGCACTGGCGTGTGCAAAAAGAAAATTGGACAATCAAACCAGATTCGGCCCCCTGCAAAGGGAAACCTAAAGGAGACTGTTTCAGCAACAATTAAAAATTAGTGGTTTCGACTTACATGTTCTGGAGATAGGCTGCGCTTTAGATTCGCTGGTGGCTGAAATTGATACGCGAACATGTTACATGTTGTAACCGTGGAGAATGTCAACACTGGGGGCCAGTAAGTGCCAACCATAGTTGCAGTCTCCTGAATCATTGCCCGTGGGCTTGACCCATGGAAGTGTGACGGCCACAGGACCTGACAACAACACGCTAACTTTGTTCGGTAGTACAAAACAGCGTCCAACTGTGTCACCCCATGTCAATGTCAACTGAAGTACACCTCACTTTGAACCCAGAAAGTCTGACTCTGATGATACCCCGACATGAGATTCACAGGCTACCCTTTGTGGGATTGTTTGACTCAACGACAGGATATATATTAATATGGAATGTGTGATTTTAAGGTTCTCAAGGATACGAGCTCCTGCAGTCAGAATGCACCCCCCAGCCTTCTTCTTCCTCCAGCCTCTGTGCGCCCGCTGGAGGGCCTGCGAATGCATGTCATCCCACCTGTCCTGAGGTTCTTTGTTCCTGCAAACATGTTTCGCCTTCGGCCATGTGGAATACCAAAAAAAGCTCTGGCTTGTCCTGTCACAAATTGAGCTTCCTTTCTCCCATGTGCGTTCTCGCCCCCTGGAACAAATCACATTTTTCACAGTAGTGATAGATTTCTTTTACAACCAACAGGGGGAAAATTAACAAAGTAGTGATATATTTATTTTAAAATTAGTAGGGATAGATTTCAAAAAAAAAAAAAACAGGGGGGAAAAATAACAAACACTCTTCAGCAAATGGAAGCCCTTGAAAGTCTGATGTCAGGAGAGAACGCCAGGCTTTCGGCCTGTGGTCTCCCTGAAGCTAGAACTCACCGAAGAACAACAATTAACTCAGCAAGAATCCAACTCCCAGCCCCATCGATCAAACCTCAGTCGAGATCAATTTGCTGGCTTACCTGCGCCTGAATCTGGTCCATCGCTTGAATTCGTTACACTGGAAGCTGAAATCTGCGTCTGGGACACGACTG